AGAATGAATGGTCGTTAGCAAGAAACAAAACCCAAGATGCGAAATAAGAATTAGAGACATCGGATTCAAGAAGGGATGGCGATAAACTGAGTAGAGTAATACAAAAACGACAGAAAGCCAGAAACGCATCAGTGTATAAGGACATAGAAATATAACATTAGAAAGAGAGGAAATGGTACTGAATTGCTATCTCATATCTATCCAGTTATATGACAGTGAGTGTTTACAGATGAAGAAGTGACTCTAAGACATAGAAATGTGGTTCTTCCAACAAATGCCATGGATACTGTAGACAGAAAAAAAAAAAACAAGGAAGTTCAAATAAAAACGGAAACTTGGACACATAATCAACAACAGAACGAGACACTTGAAATATCGAAGACACGTTATGAGGAAAGACAACTTGGTAAAAATAATACTCTCGAGGCGTACCGAGAGAAGTAGGTTGATTTTAATTGATGGATTCGATTTTTACGGTTTATCTACCTTTGCTGGTTATTTAAAGCCTGAAAATATTTTTTTATATTGTAATAAATGTCTTTTTCAGATAATAGTGGTTTAGTGATAGAGGTCTTACTAATTAACCCATAGCTGATGGAGAAAAAGTGGAATCATGTTTTTTCAAACGGTTTTTACGTGTAGGGGAATACAAAAAACCCAATAGGAATTAGAACTCAGGTTTACGATTAACAATTCCGAGCCATTATTTCCATTACACCACACGCATATCCAAACCGGTATTCTCAAGAGGTCACCCATCTAGGTACTGGCCAGACTCGACGTTGCTTAATGTTTGCGGTCATGATACGGGCATCGGTGTTTGAAGGGACCAGGAGGTATTCTAAAGAGTTAAACGTTGCTTAGAACTACTAGGGACAGGAAGCTGTGGAGAGTTATGATCGCAAGTATTCTGAAGAAATACGACATATAAAATAAGAAAGAAGCATTTTTCTATCTATATAATCTGTCATTAGCAAACAAACGTTTTTCTTCTTGTTGTCATTGTGATTATCTCTATTGTGTTATTTCAAGTCAGCATTTTATTCGGCAGAATATAGGCACGTCATGATGACAGTTATTGTTCGATTAGAAAATGGTGAGAAATAGAAAGTGATTATCAGTTTTTGTTCTTGTCGACATCTGAAATCAGCAAGAGTTCGACAGGCCTAGCATTGATCTCGGTGGCCTCTGCTCTTTTGATGTGTCTCGTGAAGATATTGGCTGTTGCGTGATTTTCGTATTTTGCACTCGACGGTTGCCGGTAAAAGAAGCATGCCATCCATTTGACCAGACAGTTGCATTTGCTAACAGAAACAAAGAAAGGACTGCTGAACTGTTGTGTAAGATAAATCCTCCTATTATTTACTCAGACAATTGTCCTCATCTTTGTTGTTATTATCACGCTTCGGCCTTTCTGTCCTCCCACCGGCTTTCATCAGATCTATATTCATCAAACATGATCACTGAAACAAGAACCGTCTATCACCATAAATTAAATAAAGGGTTCATCTCAGAATTACTTCTAGGTCACCCAGAATGTACCCAGGTTATACAATTGATGAAGGCCGGAGTGCAATCTGCTGAAACGTTGTGGTAACAACAATATAGATGAGAATAATAGTCCGAATGTAAATATAATTTAAATAATGTTAACTTCTTATCTCAGACATTCAGGCAAATATCCTCCTAAAGGGCAATGAATGTGTTTACAGACCCACCACCACAACAACCACCATGCTTGGGGGTCTTGGGCGATGGCGTCAATACGATAATAAAATTGCATTCTTCTCACTCGGTCGGTGATCGCTAGTTGTTTTGAGTCCAGAGATTAAAGAACGTCAACACGAATTTTAACTTAAATTCATATCGACATGTTCTATCTATCCAGAGGGAGGGGGGCGTTCCTCTTCACTGAGCAGCCGTTTCAAACACGAAAGAAAACCCGTCTACATTGTTTAACGGTTAAGAATCGACTCCATGGAACCTTTATCCTATATATCATTCCCAGGCTGGCATAGCCAAACAGAATCGTGTTCCTTATTTTGGCTTGCATCTGACCTTGAAGGTCAACCTCTGAAATTCGCAGCTGAGATACACTTTCCCCTAAAAATAATAGTCTGCTAAACTACTATTTAACAAATGATAGACATTTCCTGAATGATAAACTTAGCACACACACATTATTATATATATATATATATATATATATATATATATATATATATATGCTTCCGTATGTCAGGGTTGACCATGAGTAACATTCTAGTTATCTGCTTGCCTGGAGCATCGACGTCTCTGACCGCAGAGGCCGATGCGGGAGTGACAATCTCTATTGCAGAGGTCGCATGTGTATTCTGTCTCTGGTCTGTTGGAGCTGTCACTTTGCTTTCTGCGGGCCCGCCTTTCCGAGGCGGCTTGTGTCAGCTTCTCCTCCCCTGACTTTGGTCAGGGTTCCTCTCCATTTGGATCGTATGGTTGCCAGGCTCTCCTAGGATTCTGTGTCGATGTCCACAGCTTTTATGTCGCGATTCACGCGGTAATGCGGCAGTGGCCACCCGGCCGGTCTTCTTCCAGAGGCCAGCTCCATACAGGCGGACTTACCAGAAGAGACTCGAGGCACTAGAAATATGGTTCTACGGAAGGATAGTGAGAATATCATGGACTGAATATATGAGTAACGACAAGGAAATGCAAACAAAATTGACAATTATGCTTTTCAGAAAGAGAAAATAATGAGGAAAGTGGACTTGGGGAATTTGATACTCACAGGTCGGATTGAAGGCAAGAAGTACAGAGTAAAGCAGCGAATAACAAACAAGCTTATTTAAATGAATGGAAATGAGAGTGATTAAAAAAGACAACTTTGTAGGAATATCTGTCTATTTCGGAGATTAGGAATTGTAATTATTTACACTATTTACATTGTTCACACTATTGTCCTCATCTTTGTTGCCATATTCACGATGTTTCGGCCTTTGTATGCCCCGGCCTTTTTTCAGGTGATTGGAATTTCGAACTGAACTCTTTATTTCATCCATCGCGTTAGATTGTTCTAGTTCCACGTGCCTCTTGCGAGTGTCTCATCATCAGTTATCTCCCTTTAACTCAGTTCTACAAGTTTTTGTTCACCTCAGCTGTAGCCAGGTATTGAACCCACAAATCCTTGGGTACATACCACAGGGACATGGCCCAGTGGATAAAAGCGTTGGTTGAATCTAGTGACTTGACCAAAAGTGGCTGAGGCGAACAAAAAACATGGAGAGTTGATTTAAACGGAGATAACTGATACTGAGATATCCGGAATAGGTATGGCACGGGTAACTAGAACAATCTACGCCGATGAAGGAAATAAAGGGTTCTGATTCAAATTCCAATCACCTGAAGAAGATTGGAGTGTACAACGGACTTTATAGGAAGTTGGGAAAACCACGATCGCCAATTTCCTGAATGACCCGACAGATAGAACAGGTGTGTCATAGGTAAATATTCCAATGTTATGAAATCCACTGTCATTCAATAAAAGTTTTAGAAGTAGAGAAACTCGAACTTATCTAAAAAAAAAACTTGCATAAAGACTTACTTTAAGCATTTTCATATAATCATAATCATACACACACAAGCTTACGGCGATACTGTCTAATCATCGAAGGGAAGCAACGTTAAACCTGGTTAGTACCTAGATGGTGACCGCTGGAGAATACCAGGTGTTGTAAGTGTTGGGAGTGTAATGAATAAGAGCTCCGAATGAGAAATTGGAGAGCCGAGTTCGAATTCCAGTCGGATTCATTAAATTCACACACGCAGATACCCTTAAGAAAAGGTATGAATCCACCTCTTCTCTTACCATCTATGGGTTAAATAGTATCAACTGTGTCAGAAAATCATTATCTCCAAAACATACTTTAGTTAGTTACGTACCATGCGGGATACATGCTTAAGCGATCATGTATCTTTTGATACACGACTGACGAGGTAGATTTGTTTCCGCAGTAGTTTGCAATTTCTTTCTGCGGTAGACCAGTTGCCATCCAAGGATAGTCTGTCTTGCTATTTACCCATAGCTGGAGGGAGAAGAAGAGGATCCATACATTTCCCAAGGGTATTAGCACGTAAGTGAATGTAATGGATTCGACTGGAATTCGAACTCGGCTCTCTGATTCCTCATTCAGAGCCGCTATCCATTACTCCACCGTGCCTCAACTACTCCGCCGTGTATACAATCCAGAAATATGTGTCGGCATTAAATAATCTCAAAGAGGTTGATAAGTCGTAAAAACAAATCAAAGAATCAATCAATCACACACACTAGATTCAGTTAACCGCGGTTCAGTTTGCCGTAGTTTCATTTAGCTCCGATCAGACCAAGAAATAAATTCCTAAATTTTACTTAATCAGTCAGTTATGTATCATGTGTGATACACGCTTAGACGATCATGTATCTTTCGATACATGACTAATGAGGCATTTTTTCCCGCAGTAGGTTGCCATTTCTTTCTGCGGTAGACCAGTTGCTATCCTATAGAACCCAGTCTGTTCTGCTATTTACCTGGAGGGAGAAGAGGATTTGTAGGTTTCCCAGGGTTATTAGATTGTAAGTGAATGTAATGGATTAGACTGGAATTCGAACTCGGCTCTCCGATTCCTCAATCCGAGCCGCTATCCATTACTCCAGAAAACGCAAGGGTGACGATAATATCAAGGTGCAGCCTTAAGTGTTTGCATTAAATGAAACGTTGTAATTTTTCGACTTAAAAGAAAGCAATGATGCGATAATTAAGACTGACAGTAATAATGAAACAACACGTAATTTTTATTAGATTATATTCTTTTAATTCTTCTTTATTAATAATATTATTATTCGTGTTAATTTCTTATTGTGCCTAATAAAATCCATGGTAAAATCTTCTGTCACACAACATTCTGCCTGTTCGTCCATTTTATTTTCGTTATTTTTATTCTGCCTACCAAGAGCTATAGCCAAAATAAATCATCTATGGCTTACGGCCACCTGACGCTGAAACATCGATTCCCATTAGATCATCGCAGTTAAACCACGTCGTGCCTGGTCACTACCAAGATGGGTGAACACTTGGAAATACAAGGTGTTGTAAGCTTGGATATGCGGCTGCTGTAATTGATAATGTTAATTTTTGAACCAAATTCAAATTCTAGTTGGCCTCGGTATATTCTCTTACGCGCAAATAACTTTGAGAAAAGTATGAATCCACTTCTTCTCTCCCCAGTGATGGTTTAATTAATAAAACTTGTAACACTAAACCATTATTGAAAACTCCTTTACAAAAATACGGCAATGAAACCTTATCTCCTACAAAACCGATTTCTTACAAAGGATGCATATTTTCTTCATACGAGTCTATCCTAAAAATCCTGTCGTTAACTAACTCAAGGAGGTTTTTATGCAGTAAAACAAAATTAAACCCAAACCAAAATCGTCTATCCTTCACATAATTTATAAATCAGTATATTGCTATAATTGTTCATATTTTATTTGTTGTTGCTAATATAATATTGAATCTATGTGTAAAATCTGCAGTAAGAACGAGGCATCTATTCGTCAAACAATTTTAATTACAATTTATTTTTATAATTTTAATTACAGTTTATTTTATAATAGTTTTATTTTATTATTAATTAATTAATTTTGGTAATCTCTTATAATGCCTGATACGGACAACGTTAAGAACCAATCTTTTGTCTATGACATAACTTTCATTAAATTTAATTACATTAGCGAAACAATCTTTTATTTGTCACATAATTTTTATAATTATTCTATTTTATTAGAAGTTATTGTTGTTAATCACCTATTGGCACTAATTTACAAATTAATGCTTATCACAGTTTTAAACGTATGTATATAAGGTTTATATAGAGAATGCGATATTATCCGCATTTTCAGATAGATATTATATATATATGATATATATATATATATATATATATATATATATATATATGATAAGAAGACGGAGACTTTAATTATCCATTTCGCTTATGATTTTTATTTCGTGAACACAGAGATGTTCAACTCATCAGAACGAAATCTCCTCCGCAAATGGAGAAAGTACAACGGAGGGACACATTAGATTGGTAGTAGGAAGGAGGGTGAAATTGAAGTGGTGAGTAAATGGTTAAGGGTTTATCATTATAATGCTCTGTAGTCTACATTGAGATCTCCCTGGATTTATATCCTCCGAAACCTTCCAGTCACAAATCTGTATATATATATATATATATATATATAGTATATATATATATATATATAAATATATATATATATATATATATATATATATATTTCATAATGATCCATCATGTCTAGTACTAGAACCCTCAACGCATTCTTTTTGGCAATCATCCTTAAGGCGTTTCTCTTGACGAAAGAAGAAAGAAAATGAGTGAGTAACCTTCCCAGCTTATGGAAAAAGAACTAAGATTCATTACTAAATACACATACACGCATTTCATTCTCTCGTTTTCGGACCTGATAAAGCTTTAAATGGCGAAATGCATTATCGAATATATTTCTAAACAAACCCACTTTCATGAACGTTTCCATTGTCAAATTAAAAAACAAAATCATATATTCTAATTTAAAACATATACTGTCGACACGAAAAACGAAAAAAAACTTTTACTTTCAACCCATTCTGAAGGATTATATGAAGATATAACTTGGTTCCATTTTCAGAAAATGTTTAACAGATTCTTACATTCGGGACATTCTGATAAGGAGAAGAGGGGTTGCCTTCAGTTCAATACAAAAAGTAGCTGCGAAAATACATTAACAACTTTCGACTCGAAGTGAGAGTAAAGAAAAGATACTAGAATAAATGTTAACGACATTTTTTTAAAGGTCACTTATTTTCTTTCTTCTTTAATCGCGTGAAACGCCAGCTTAAGGGGAAAAGCACTAAGATTCATTATTTAAGCATACACACTAATACGCATACACACAAATACACATACACTCAAATACACATACACGCATTTCATTCTCTCGTTTTCGGATCTGATAAAGCTTTGAATGGCGAAATACATTATCGAATATATTTCTAAACAAATCTACTTTTATGAACGTTTCCAATTGTCAAAATATTTTTTTAAAAATGACGAGATCATTTATGCTACTTTTAAAACATTATATATATATATATATATATATATATATATATATATATATATATATATATATATGTGTGTGTGTGTGTGTGTGTGTGTGTGTGTGTCTGTGTGTGTGTATACACTAAAATTCCATAATTCAAAAGTTTGAAGTCACCTACAGAATTAGCAAGGGATGAACTTGAGAGAAGAGTAAAAAAAAAAAAATGAAAAACAGCTCTTAGAGTCATTGAATAAGAATGAAGTCAATTATCTATTTTATAATTTGAGAAACTTTGGCAACAAATGCCAAACATTTGTGCTACAGTAATCAAGGCTAAAGGAGGATTTTTTGAGAAGAGCAAAATTTAATCATAAAATACTTTTTTTTCTTTTTGTCATAATAAAATTTCTAATATAAAATCATGTCTCACTTTTTTACCATGTATAATAATTTTATCTTATTCAAAGTACAAAAAACTACTTTTTCGGGCAATTCAAAATATTACCAGGGGTAGCGTCAAACATTTGAACTGTAGTGTACACACACGCACACGCACGCGCGCGCGCACACACACACACACACATATATATATATATATATATATATATATATATATATATATATATATATGATAATATCAAAATTATCCGCACATTAGCCATTACATATTTTTAGACAAAAGTGCAGATAAGTGCGGATGTATGTATATATATATATATATATATATTGAAGCATGTTTCATTAAATAATATAGACAAGTTTTGTCTATTTTATGTAAATTCTTTTCATATCGTCTGATAATCTTAATAACATTATCATTAAAAGATGTAAGAAAATCACAATATTGATACATATTTTTTAATCCTATCTAAGCTTTCGGCTTACTAAGCCATTATCACAGATGAAAATTACATTACACTATATTAACCAATACACGGTTAAATTTGGTTTAATTTGCTTACATCTGTCCAGTCTGAATTAACATTTTCTGTCATTTTTAAAGAAATTTCTGAATTGTCAAGCATCCTACAATTTCTAAATTAAACTTTTTATACTTGCATATAAACTTATGAATTTATTCTTCGTTGCACTTGATGCTCTCCTCCTTCGGGTGTGTTTTGCCTCTAATTTATACTACTGAAACCGTTTGCTGCGGTTGGTCGAATCCAATTATAGTTAATATTGATTAACGTACTACCAAACCAGAACCTGTAAGACTTGGCGCATATACTTGAGTGCTGATCTCCAATACGTTCTGAAATGGTTCAAATCTCCGTCTGTATCAAACCTAGTCTAACCTAACACTTGTAGCAGTCGGTCAACTAATAAGCCTTCGAAGACCTGTTCAATTTACAATAGAGAAATTGAGTTACAATCCAGAACGTTATCCTCTCGTATAATGGTCAATAGGAGGTCGGTGGAAGGTCACGTGACACCCTGGAGACTCATAAAGGACAAGCCAACACGCTAAAGTATATCTATGTTCTCGCCTGGAGTGGATTTAACCCACGAGTTTGTTTTTAATTCTTCATATTTACATTTCTGTAAGTTATTGACAAAACGTCACTTTCGAGCCGGACGGAGGCTTCTCTTACCAGAAAATCCTCAAAAGTTCTTGCAGTGACGGGGTGGAGCTGGGAGAAATCGGTTAGTGGAAAATGCCATAGGAAGCTGCACTTTCAATCAAGCGTACATGTGTTTCGGGGACGTGCGGTCGTTTGGTGCGAACCTGTCTGACACAGCAGCACCCCCGATGGATGACGGAAGGCGCTTTTATTGGATTTACGAGAACACGAAAGTTAATCTCTCATAAATAAGATTTTATAAATCACCGGACTTCGTTAATTATCGTCAGCCAGCAGGATTGTAGCCCCCCGACCCTCTTTGAACGTGGGCAATAGATTCGCGTTAGATGCAAGAGACACGCTCTCCCACGCGTGTACATATTATTCACTGCTTGATCGAGTATGTTTTAATCAGTTGGGGGGTGGGGGTCAGCCACTGACATCGGGTGAAGCAAGGTTCTGTACACGGTGGCTAGATTAAACCACATCCGAGATGCTGTTGAGAGAGAAACCAACAGGTTACACGACAAAAACAAATGTCTGGTTGAACGACGCCATTGAATGTTTAATGGCCTGCGTGAACAAGAACCACTTGATCGAACACGCATTGAATCTGCCTGCGAGGCGGAAGGAATTATTATTAAATAACATTTATTTTATTATTCGAAGTATAATATATGTAAAATTTTAAAAAAAGTATTTGTACTGATGCATTTCTGCTGAATATAGTTCCTTTTTATATTATAATTTACTTTCAAATACCTTGCAGACACACCATACACACACATATATATATATATATATATATATATATATATATATATATATATATATGAACAATATAAAAATATTCAAATATTAAAATCTTCAGAAACACTGGTTTGTAGATTGATATTCTTTCGTTTTTTTATTATTATTTCATTTAGATTCCTCGAGTACTTTCGGACAAAATATATATATATATATATATATATATATATATATATATATATATATATATATGTATGCATGTATGTATGTGTGTGTGTGTGTGTGTGTGTGTGTACAGCTGCCCACTCATATTCGAGGTTACCAGTCAACTAGAGCGGCTATTGCAGGCGCTTGCTCAGGCAATATTTGTGTTTGCTAAATATCCACAGAACCCACCTGTGTTTTATACTGCAATTATGCTGAGCAGATCTTAGTTACAGTTTCTGGGAGAGAGCGTGTTATCTCGCGTGATCAACAATTTGAACAAAGGCCGGCATGATCAAACACTCGGATTTGTGCTAGCTATCGACGGCCCACCAAAGTTCTGTCTTTCCAATTTCACTGCAAGGCTTGAGTCAACTCGTGGTATGGTTTTCGGACACTTTCCAAAGGTGCCGTACGCTTGGGGCGAATATATATATATATATATATATATATATATATATATATAT